TGTGTGTGTGTGTGTGTGTGTGTGTGTGTGTGTGTGTGTGTGTGTGTGTGCGTGCGTGCGCGTGCGTGTGTGTGTGCTGCTAAAGGACATAGAGTGTTTATTAATGAGTGTCTCACAGCCATCAGACACAAAGAGCATTTACATTTGTGAGAGACACATAAGGCCCATTTATGCTGCTTGTATGAAAAGAATCAGATGATGTCACCATCACATACTCCCATGCGTCTATTACGTTGGCAAAGTTATTGTGCAATGCATCCACTAGAGGGCAGTACAGAGGAGCGAGCTTCTGACAACAAACATGGCGACTGTGGAGAAGTTTGTGATCATTTGATGGCGAAAGCGGCTGCGTTGTTCATTATGTGTCCCTGTGACAGTGTGAAGTAACATTACATTTGACAATTCTCAAAAAATTCTGCAAATATTTGAATTTTTTCTTGTGTCTTATGGGCGTCCATTTGAACTACTGGCTAGACTGACCCTCCCTCTAGTCGTCCATGGTACTGCTCCATTTCTTTAGTTTTGCCAGTCTCACCTCCACACATATTGTTATCTGCTTACTGTTTGTGCTACAGGGTATTTTAATGTTGTTGTTCTCTTACGCTGATTAAACTGCAACTATTTATACTTTGCAATATCACAACTTGTTGGTTTCACCTTGGACTCATCTTGGTGTGGGGGTGGGACAGTTGCTGACTCTGCATAGTTATTTGGCAGCAACTCTTTATTTCCTGGAAGTGTTGCACATATTTGTGGATTAGAAACTGTCAAAATGATGAATAACTCACACTGAGATCGGTCTATTTTGTGATGCAAATTCATTTTTGGTTTGGGGTTTAAGAATCTCTGAGGCACACCCTTGCATTGTGTGAAGAAGAGTGAATGGGAGTCGCCCTCAGCAAATAGAAAGTTATTTTCAGCCACAGGAGATGAACATAAAAGATCAATAGCACCACAGACCTGTTTTTGTCTTGAGATTTGTGTATGGCAGCGAGTGGACACTCGCCTTACAGGGCCTCAGATTGAGCGAATGGATGTAAATCAGTATTGTTTCAACATGCACTGTACTTTTGTCTCTCAGGTGATGAAACTGCGTAAGTTGGCTCAACAGATCGCAAACTGTCGCCAGTGTCTGGAACGTTCCAGTGCGCTCATCACACAAGCCGAGCAGAGCCTGAAGGAGAACGACCACGCCCGCTTCCTCCAGACCGCCCGAAATGTAGCAGAAAGGTGAGTGATGTGTGAACCCACGTACGCACAAACACACACACACACACAAACACAGGTGAGGTAGAACAAGTATTGAAGTGTGTTTACTGTTGCTACAGTGACACGTTTGTTTAATAGCTGTTGTTAACTGAGCTTCATGTAGCCTACTTATTAACAATGAAATATGAAACTACAATGACACGTTTATCAACACCAACAGCCCTAATATCAAAGACCCTGTTGGTTTTTGTCTCAGCTTCGAAAAATATGCACGAAAGCTTTTCATTTACTTAAATGAATTGAATATATCCATATTTTTTTATTTGTAGAATGTTTATTTGTAAATGGCTTTTATATTTGCCAATTATTTTAGTCAGTCTTTTTTTATTGTTTTTCATGAAGGCCTATTTTAATATTTATAAATTGCATATTTACACAGCTTGTTGATCTGTTCACACAAATAAGATGGAAATATTTACACATAAAAAAGACCCAAAACATAAACAGATGCTCTCACAGACAAGGGCTCCTTCCTCCCTCCTGTGCTCTGGGGCTTTCTTCATTATTGCATTCCTCTGTCTCTTTATTAAAAGTGTAACAGGCACTGAGAACCAGTCTGCCTATCTTCTGATTCCATTGAATCAATCTGATTTCAATTAATTTCAAGTGCAGTTGAGAGGAGAGTGTGTTTTTCTGTTTTTTTTTTTTTTTTACTCGCTTTTCCCCCTCTATAAAATGTTTAAAATTTTAATTATTTGCCTACACAGATTTGTTGTTGTTTTTTAATCAAATGCCAACAATAAGTTTTGTGCGATAATAGTTTTTTTTCTAGGAAATTCAATCTTAGAATAAGGTGACTAGTGAAATCAACATTGTATTAATCCTCAGTGTCAGGCCTCGGTTGGAAATCATCCATCATTTAAGAGGCCAGTTCTGCAGCACTGCAGTTTCCTTCATCCCTTCCTCAGCTTCTGCAGGTTTTCGATGTCCATCTGCAAAATAGGTAGCTGGTGTAGCATCTTTACTCTGGCTGGGACTTAGCTTTTGTTTTCATCTAGCAACTACCGAGGCGTGTTATTGACTTGCTGGTTTCTCCTTAATGAGGAATGAAAGTCTTGAGGACCAGCATAGCTCTGGTGTATGGGCACTGCTCAGTAACCCTGCAGCCACTGTGGTTCACACACACACACACACACACACACACACACACACACACACACACACACACACCGATGCTCAAAGCAAAAGTCGGCACAAGTTTCCACAAAGCTGTAAAAAACTGCGTCAGTGTGACAATGTGTGTGTACAATCAAACACTCAGGTAGGAATGTGGGACGGGATGCAGACAGTTCTGTTTGATACTGTGGCACTTCTACATCTTTTATTTTCTTATCTTTTACTCACTAATTCTGATTTAATTCTCTCTCCTCTCTTTCATTTCTCTCCTTACATTTTTCAACCTTGTCTTCACCCCTCTCCCCCTTTTTTCCCCTCGTCTCCTCATGCGACCTCCTGCCCCTCCTCTTCTCCCTCACCTCTCCCCCTCTCTTCTGGTGACATTTTTCTCTTCCTTACCCCTTATCCTTACCACTTCTGCTACAGGGTTGCCATGGCGACGGCTTCCTCCCAAGTACTCATCCCTGACGTCAACCTGAACGAGGCATTTGACAACTTTGCCCTGGATTTTTCCAGAGAGAAGAAGATTTTAGAAGGACTAGATTATCTAACAGGTAAGAGTATAGTCTCTATGATGCTGCTGGCAACATGAGAAAACTTCGAAAAGTATGCAAGTTTGCACAAAACTTTTCTGAACTCTATATTAAATCAAACATTTGACATATACAGCCTATGTTCTGACTGTGAGTCGTGATGTTGTTTCCTCCATGTTTAGCTCCCAACCCGCCGTGCATAAGAGACGAGCTCTGCACCGCCTCCCATGACACCATCACTGTTCACTGGACGTCAGAGGACGAATTCAGTGTCACCTCCTACGAGCTGCAGTACACCATCTACACCGGCCAGACTAATTTCATCAGTGAGTGTACATGCGCATACAAACACACACGCACACACACACACACTCACAGAGGTATGATAATACAGAAACGTAGATCTGTACTGTAGATGAGAAATAAGCAGATTATAATTATCTGTACAAACATTATTAAATCTATCAAATATAGTTCGAATGACATTTAGGTCAGTTCACACTTACACACACATACACAAACCCAAAAGAAGTACACTCGCTGAAGTCTAAGCTATTAGAATGAGAAATAAATTGGAGCACCCCAATACTTCAATTTTTAATCAAACTATACCATAAACTAGATTTGCTGTCCAGCTTTAGTCTGTCCTCTTTGCTGCCCTCTTCCATTTCTAAACAAAAGCTTTTAATGTTTGTATCACACCAAGTAAAATAAATCAAGTCTTTCACATATTATGTATATTCTACCAGAATGTGTCCTGTTTGTTTTCCCATAATCGGTTGACCAAGTCACACAGTGCGACTGCTAGACAAATACAAAGTTATGATTTCAGTCTATTTGTCTTTCTCATTTGAAAACCTTGTAAATTTCTTTTTCAAAATTCTAATATCATGAACAGGATTTGCACATTTACATTTACGGATCATGGCGGGATGTCTATCACTATATAAATGAAGGGAAAGAGACCACTGTGGAGGAAGGTAGGTGAAATCTGAGTGGATAATAGTTGCACAGGGGAGGTGGAAATTACCACTTACTGACGTGAGGAGGACAGGATTAATGTACAGAATCGCCTACACACACACCTGTGCCCCCCCCCCCGATCCTTTTCATCATCTCCTCTCTTCCTCTCTGCATAGCCTGACATTTCTCCATCTAACCATGCAACTCAAGTGCCCCAGCCATTTGAAACATCAGGATACATTTCAGCTGTGAGACTGAGCGACTCAGATATTCAGCCGCGTGCTGCCACAGTGTCCTCTGAGACTCACAGGAGAAACTGACAAAGAGAGAACCCATTTAGCTTGCAGCGCCACTTGAGTTTCTACCATTGCATTTCTCTAAAAACTTTCCAAGTGGCTAAACGCTCCCACTTGAGCACAATCCCGGCTCCGTCTCCCTCTCTCATCCTCAGCCTCCCATGAGGAGGGGAATGGGGGTTGTGGGGTCTGGTGAGCCCTGCCCCTGCAGGAGCATCCAAGCACAGCAGCAGCAGAAATAAAACCAGCAAGTAAACCAAATACCACAGAGAAATGTGAGCAGTGTCAGAAAGCCACATACAACTTAAAGTAAAGATGTCTGTACTGTAATTGAATAGCTGTTACCTGTGGCCCTCTGCACGCTGCAGGGGTCTTTTGTTGAGACCCCTCTGCCATTTCTTTTACAGTTTGTATTCACATGTTGTATATAGTCAACCTTCTCTCCTCTACATCACACACACATAGTGGTGAATCGTCTTGTATGGTAAGATCTCCATCCCTGCACAGAGAGAACAAGAGGGAAATTAAAACGGACTAGCTGAGTGTAATTGTTGATCAATTCATCTAGAGAGGGAACAGTAGGTGATTTCTACTTTGGTCTTCAGTTTTGATTAACACGCTCTTAAAATTGTGCTTTTATCTCAGACAGTAATGCTGATGTAACACTATTTGTATATAACCTTGATAATTAAATTCTACCTCCTAATGTGTTCATCAATAACGCAGCGCTAAGAGGTAATGAAGGCCATAAATGACGTGCCACCTTTTTGCTGACTCAGATTTGACCGAGAGCAAGTTCACCTTTTAGCATATGCTTGTCCACTTTAATATTCATAATATGAATGCATTGGTACTTTGATATTTTGGAGAATGCACTTATTTGACCAAACAAGATATACTATATGTTAATTACTTAGCTTTACAACGGCTGGTGAATATTCTGTACTTTTGTACAATAGCAGCTGTTTCCTAACATTATGCTAAGCTAAGCTAACCATCCTTTGGCTACATAGCTTTATATTCAGCATACATACATGAGAATTGTATCAGTCCTCTCATCTGACTCATGGTAAGAAATAAAATAACTTTTATCCAAAATGTTGAACTTTATTATGATTATTAATACTTAAAATGGAGGCAAAAGATATAATTACAAACATTCCAACAGGATTGTTATTCAAGTTCAGCTCCGGCCAAATATTTCTGTCAGCATTTGTCCAAGCCTAAGAGAGGAAACTAATGTAGCCAGACCTGATGTACCTGATGTAGATAATAGAATCTGTGCTGCTGTCGTGTTACCCTGTCCCTGAAGGTTATTGCTTGTTTTATGTGATTCCAGTAACAGGCAATGTAAAAAAATCTAGTAGATGGACCAGACAATGTCACCGGACCTGAAAATGTCCGAATTGTTGTCCGAACCCGGCCTGTCGGGTCAGATCCACTTAACTAAATTGACTTGAGAGGATTAATGAAGCTTCTATGGCCATGTTCCTTTATGGCTTCCCTGGTGGCCTTTAGCTTGTAGCTGGATATCTGACCACAGAGCGCCAGCTCTTGAGAAGCCAAATATCCTCATTAGATCCCTAAAGTCCTTCCATGTTTGAGAGCAGATTCTACACTTTTCTGTTTTCATTGAAAATCACTTCCTGTCAGACTGTACACAATTTTTATTGTCCCTGTCTGGACAAAGAAGAAGTCCATGCACCTGCTCTGATCTCATCCAGCACCTAATGGTGGAATATGGATAAATCTATCTATCTTTCTATTTGTCCTTTTTTCTAGAAATACCTACCTGCTGACTGCAGCTCATATCCGTCTTTCATGTGTATTCATAAGCAGCAGCCTGTGGCGTAGTAATAACATGATTATCACAGGTATCACAGTGGGTACGAGGACGGCCCAGTGTTTGGTTAAACCTCCTTCTCTCTGTATCTCAACAGGGCGTCTGTCACAGTATCAGCAGGATCAAACTTTGAAGCAATGTTTGATCGAGTGATGAGTTTTGAAAGTTTTCACTCGTTGCATACACACAAACAGTGAAGTTATGCCGAGGCACAGCTGCTCATACACACATAATGTTCTTCCTTAACAAATTAAAAGAGGAGCACATGCACACATATGCAACACATACTCATTTAGACACGCGTGCACAGAAGCGCACACTGTCACCATTAACTCCATATTGCATCATCAAAGACAAACCCTCATCCAATCCCAGGGTACTTTGTGTTTCTGCTCGCTTCTCATCTGATGCACGCAGACACAAACACACACCACGTACACACACACACTACACACACACACAAAGACGCACTTGATGTCTGGATACAAGACATCAGCTGACGTGTTTCCTCTCTTGTTTCCCCCTTTTTTCCAGTGGCACATTCGCTCACTCCTCCAACACACTTTGAAGTCACAGTGGTCTGTAAAGCAGCACGGCTGGCGTCAGAAATCCCCTTTTCAGTTGCAGAAGTAGTGATAGAGCACTGCTGTGTGCTGACCTAATTTGATTCAGCAGAAACGCAGAGGTGCTATGGAGATCAAAAGGCTTTAAAATGGAACAGCGCAAAGTCCTTCTGCCTCGTCTTTTGTTGTATCGTCTTTTTTAAAAGCCCACAGAACATCGCAACCTCCCTGATTTTAACTGGATGCAACTAAAACAACAGGTGGGAGGCATAATTTCCTTGACAACGTGGGACAGCTGTCCCAGTAGAGCAATATCACTTTTTGTGAAAACAGCAAAGAAAATGCTGGTAAATCTGCTGGCTATCGTTTTAAAAACGTGTTTTAAAGAAAGCGCTTTTAAACTCATTTCTTTCTCTCTCTTCTTAAAGGTATCTCCTCAGTTTTCTTCGTCTGCGTAGAGATCGTGAAGGGCTCGAAAGATTTGTGAAGGCACAGCCTTCACTCTAACTCTAAGAGTCCCTTCCCCTCATTCATTGTTAAAGCCGCCTCACTTTTAAAGGCCTTATTTGCGTCTTGTGAAGTATTTATATTTACAAGCAGACTCTCAGCTTTTACTTATGCATGCTGTTACCATCTTGCTCAATAATTCACGGCGCATCCTCACCAGAAGGGACATGGCATCAGGCATGGCCCTTAGAGCTCTCTCCCTTTCAAAATTTGTATTTCCCTGCAGTTCTGCACTGGGGAGGGGGAGATGAGACTATAAGAAGGGATTGTTATTCTGTTTTAAACTCTACAAACATTATCCTCGGCTGTAGCGCTGCTTAACAAGAGGCTTTGGCAAGGGTTCACTGGAATGCACTGGGAATTTGTTCAGGTGGGTGAAAGCAGTTTTATTTAAGCGTGGTGGACAGTGGCTCTTTTTAGCACTGCCTCACAAATGTTTGTGCATAAAACATTTTTTCCTGTTGGCACATCTTGGTGGTACATCCTGGTGTTGCTAAAGGTCAAGATATAACAAAGATGTATCCAGTTCTTATCAACTATCCTGTAAAAATCTCCGCAAAACACAGCAAACTCGAGACGGCACAAAGTGCCTAAAGCTAAATGGTCATTTAGTGTGGCTGTATTTCACACGAAAGGATTCTAACATCGGGACGCGTAGCTAATGTGTGAAAACAATTCAGCTTAAAGTGAAGCACGTGACAAACTTGAAAAAAATGAAGCAGCCGGCAACACATATATTTGAAGCAGAAGGATGTGAGTGTGCTGAGCCCTGATGGAGACAATTGATGGAGAGCTGGAGCATTTTGTATTAAGCACTGAAACTGTTATGGTTTTTATTTATTTGTGATATTTTGTTATGCAAATGTGTTAAAAGTTTGTAACTTATTTATATTTGTATATTTAGTAAGTATAAGTATAAGTTCAGCTGTTAGTTTGATAAATTTCAATTTCCAATTGGCCATAACAATATAAAAACATCCCAAATAACCATATAGCTTAATGTTATATTGTTAAAATTGCTATATCTGATTCAAATAACTTTCCACAACAACTCCACCTTAATACAAACTACTCATCTTGTATTTAAAGTTGTTTATTCAGCAGTGGAATCAGGTGAACTACATTTCATATTCCAAAAAGAAGAAAAAGTAATATGGGTCAGTTAAGGTGAAACCGTATAAATTCCTCCCTGTTATTTCGCACGAGACTTGAGGCCAAAGGAGCACCTCACTGTTGACAATCCTCTCCTCTGCCCTGAGCTGAGATTTCATTCTCATCCTTCACAGTCGGCTGCAGCTGAGAGACTGAAAAAGACTGTGTTTAGAGGCAGGTGACTGCCGAGCGAACCCAACCATCACTAACCCTCCACTACAAGGCTCTTTGAATCAAAGCACTCACCAACTGGGGGGACGTCGGTATTGCCCAAGTTTGAACATTAAAGGCTATCGCACTCTTTCACCCTCAGGCAGTCACGAAAGAAATGCACGGAGTAAAAGTGCCTCATCTAAATGGGTAATAGAGTCAACTTAGCATGCCATGATAAACCTGATGAAGAGGTGATGGGACTTGTGAGTATGAACACATTAGTGTTGCATAACATCAGCAGTTGTATTGTCTCTGTGCGCTGTGTGATGAGTCACATCAGATTTAGAGAAAGAAATAAGACACTGCTCGGGCTGGTGAGAATTGTTTTCACTGTGTTAAACAAAGTAGAAAAGATTCTCAGCAGGAAACACTGGAGCTCCGCTTATCTCGAAAGTATCAACAGAATGTGTTTATTCATGTGTGTGTGTGTGTGTGTGTGTGTGTGTATCTGCCAGGTTTGTACAACTCGGCGGACAGCTGGATGATCGTACCAAACATCAAGCAGAACCACTACACAGTGCACGGCTTGCAGAGCGGCACCCGTTACATCTTCTTTGTGAAGGCCATCAACCAGGCAGGAAGTCGCAACAGTGAGCCCGCACGTCTCAAAACCAACAGTAAGTGAAGACACGTGTGACAACCTCTCCCTGCTCTCCTGTGCATATTTACAAGTCTTTTTTCTCCAGTTAATTATTTTTTTCATATTTAGTACATTTCAAAATCCGTCTGTTGCATTTGTGCAACAGAACGTAAAGGTTTCTCAGTTCAATGCTTTTCTCAGGGAGTTATCTTTAAAATGAGCTGAGGATTAAATTACATTTTGAGTAGTAAAAGAACATTCATGCATTTCTTCTGGTTCCCAGTCAGATACGTTTTCTCTACGGAGTGCAGCTAAGTGTACATGAAAACAGATTTCTTCTTGCAACTACATTTTATGTAGTTTCTTAAATGGGACCGTGATTAACTATGTTGCCCTTGACAATAGGTGTTTAGTCTTAAAAGGCATTGGCGTAATGATGTGTGATCTACTGAGCGGGCCACATGGCTTTCATAGCACTGACAAACAAGCCAGTAGCCCGTCAGATTTATGATGTTCCATGAGAGTTTTACTGAATGATTTTAGTCTAAAAGTATCTATGACCATGTCTTTCTTTAAGAGCAAGTCTGTCTGACCTATTTCTTTTTTCATCATATTCCCTGAAAGAGGAATGTCATCATCTTGTGGCTGATGCATTGAATCAGTTGAATCATCTAGAAAAAAGATCAACTTTCTTGTCAGAGACACAGTTCACAGGCCATAGTTGTGCACGACTGTGGTCACAGCTTAAGACATGCTATCACTTGTTTCAAATCAGATACTTCTCGAGAAGTTTCACAATATAGTCTGAGTTAAGCTGGACTGGAGGCTGAATCTGGTCTCAACTGCTTGAAACATATTGTTCATCTCAGGTTGTTTAAGGTATCATGCTGAGTGCATATTAAAAAATATCTCCTATCAATTATTCAGTTTTACCCTGTAGGCTTGTCAGCGTACGTCTGAATTTCAAACTAGGCATTTAGTGTCATGGGATTAGGGCATTTCATGCTACATAGAAGCGTCTATTTTTATGGTAAATATAATAATTTTAAACATCTATGTGCTTGCGGCAACCGCTGTACATTGAGTTTTAGTTTCCCACAAGTGAATTTATAAGGTGTCAACTTGTTTTTCTTTAACAGCGTAATGTTTGGTAGCAGGATCTACATAAGGTTGTCTGTTGTTTGGCTTAAATCACATAAATCTAGAATGGTTCATAACAAAAAGATCTGGATGTGATGAGTCTACAATAGTACAGCGAAGTATGCAGCTACTGAGGCCACTGCAGTTGTTGTGTCTATTGGCGACAAGGACGTTGTGTTAATGCTCATTTTTCATTTGCGCACATGAAGATTGATATGTATGAAGTCATTACGACACACATCTTCTCAAAAAGCATATTTACAAAGTCAAATTGTTGACAGTTATTTCAGTTATTTCATTTCTAGGACTTTGGTAAATCCATCAAAACAATTCATTCACATGTTTTTAAGTTCTGAAGAATTTCAGCTATAGTACCAAATTGACTCTTAATCAAATTTGAATTCTCTGCATGTGATACACATGGGTATCTTTAGCAAGTGTCTGTGAAAGGCAGTTTTAACCAAAATGTATGAATCTGGAAAATGCCTTTAGACACCAGAAGGTGAAGTTAGTCATTCAGTGAACAAGAGCTTCTTCTTTCTTTCGTTTCCTCTCCACAAGTCTCAGCTTGTCTTGAGTTCTGCTAAATCTTCACTTTTAGACTCAATCGTACCACAACAAACACCATGTAGCACAAGAAGAGCAAGTGGAGAATGTTAATAGGCAGCATGACATCTCCTTTACTCCTTCTCTGCATTTGTTTTGGTTGACTATGCATCTCGACTGTTACTCAGCTTAGTTACAGTGTTTCTTGTTCAGCAGTGAGTTTCTACACATGAGGAAACTGTGTCTTTGACATCTTCAGTACTCAGACTGTCCTCGTTCATAGCACACACGCTGCAGTTGCCTCTCGAACTAGGTGAATGAAGTTTTTGTTCTGCACTCGGGGGAGATTATGTTTAATTGACACATTCCCTACCTTTTCAGTCTCTGCTTCTCTTCTTCCCTTTTCTCCCTAAAGTTGTTTTTCTGCTGCAGAATCTTGTCCTCTTGGCTTTGAACTCTATTTTTATTTTTTGTGCCTCCATCTCTCAATGAGTAAAGTGACAGGGGGCAAAATGAGAAAAACTGAGAAACTGTATAAATGTCTTGATACAGACTGGGACTTATAGGTTACACTAAGCCCAATACACATGCAAAAAAAGAAACCACACCACCAAGGCCCAACAGTTTCCTTAAAGTCAAACAAGAAACACCAAATCTTGCTCATTGCACCAAATTAGACACTCTTAAAAATTAGTCCCATTAACATGCCTATATTTAAAAAAACACACAATGTTAAAGAATCTGGATCAACACCAAAAATAAATGGGTTCGTCCACCATCCATACTACATCCTTCCACCAACTTTCGTGGTAATCTGTGGAGTAGTTTTTGTGTAATCCTGTTTACAAATACACCAACAGACAGACAAGCTGAAAACCACCTCCTCAGCACAGGTGAAAAAAAACACTTCACCAAGGAACAGTTGTATAACATAAAAAAAAGAGATCCTAGTTCAAGTAAAGATTTTGAATGTGCCTTTTAGAAGAGTTGAAAGTCACATGTAGAAAGTCGGATCACCTCCTCTGTCTAATTGAGGATGTGCCTGAAGGAAGCTCAATAGAATTTTAAATCGGCCTTAAATTGCAGCAGTGAGAAAACGGAGTTGATATGTCAGCACCTCGTAGCTGCTGTCAGGAGTCTGACTGTGGCGTTTAGGATTAACTGTAATCTGGATACACTCTGCTGGGTAGAATAGGTGTGTAGAAAACTGCAGAAGGAGAAGGATGATCGCTTTCGCTCTCAGTCACTGCACACAAATACTAAACGGACTGTGAAAGGGGAGAAATCCAGTGAATCTGAACCTCATGAAAAGCAATATACTTGTTAGCAGATGTGAGACAAGGGATCCGAGGCCCACACACACCAGGGGGTCCCAGTATGAGGCCACTTTAGCACATACTTCTTTTTTAAATGTGTTATGTGTAGCTCTTTGAAATTACATGAGTCCTCAATCAAACTAAAATAATCAGCAGCTTTAAGACCTAAAACCAAGCATAGAAAAAACTATAAACCAACAAAAAGTGGATGTAGCTACTATATACAACTAATGTAACAATACAATCTGGACAAATACGAAATGAAAATGAACAAAAGTCCTATCAGGATATTTTTTGGCCTTTTTAAGTTGAAGAGAAACGTTTGTTATGTCTCAGCTGCCTATAAATGATTCTGCCTCTATTCTCTGTGGCTTGAAGCAGCTATATTCCATAGTTATAGCTGCTGATGTACTCAATACTTTATGGGAAGTAATTTGATTAGAGTCCAAGAACTTTCTGGTGAAAGGAGGTCGATATGGTGAGAATGATTTCTTCTTGGCTAATTTAAAAGCAGAATGTTGGTTTCACAAGACACAAAGGCATTTTTTTGCATTTTGTCACTGTTTTGATCATATTACCATGTTTATATTGAACTAAACTTCAGCTTCCATTCTAAACCTGCCTGTTTGGAAGAGGCTGTTTGTTTGACCTGCAGTGATGCTGGTGGCAGTTTTCTTTGTAACACTGTGAAAGGGAAGGTGCTCCTTACCTGTTTATTCACATTTTATTGATATTGATTGTATTTCACACACTTCCTTGGGCACATTAAATGCCAGTTGAGAAGCAGATGAGGTGAATGGTTCTTGAGATATGCGAGCCACAAAGAGACACACAGAGATTTCTTGAATGATTATATAGAAGTATATAGATGATATTTGGTTGTTCGGGGTTGGGGGTGTAAAGAGTGCTCTGACCTCTCTCCACCAGAACACCTGTCCTGCATGTAGAGCTGCCATCTGGTGCTTTAAACACACGCACACACACACACACACACACACACACACACACACACACACACACACACACACACACACACACACTATCAAAATCTCTGACACACACACACACACAATCAAAATCTCTGACACACACACACACAATCAAAATGTCTGACACACACACACACACACAATCAAAATCTCTGACACACACACGCCTGTGGGACATTGAGCATGTCA